TCTCAAAAGCATAGACATCAGGTACACAGAATATTCGTCTCCTGGTACACTTATGGGCTCGCTGAATTATTTTTTCATGTTTGACGGAAGCTTCCCTTCGCTGTGTTTCAAGGTTCCCAAATAGACAGACTTCTGAAAGCGCTTGCGATGCTTTTCGTGCTATAAGGGTACACGCACACATAGCTCAGACCTGCCAAGAACCTCAATGGCTGGCTAAAAAGGTAGAAAGGAAGAACCTCAACGGTTAACTACATGCGAGAAACCAATAGCTTAGAATTCAGGGTTTCGTAAAGAGACAGAGCGATTTTTCACGCCTGACTAACTGATCTAACACTACTCTTCTATTAGTTCTGTTTCCACTCAGCAACTTAGCAGTTATATGTAAGGTAGACAACGCAGGTTTTCCTGGTCGTGTTCCTTAGTGTCACAACAATCTGTATTTAAGATAAGTTTTTGCCACCGCCCAACAACTTGCTCTTCTGGCTCTCTCTGGTATACTTGAATCTGGTTTTCGTCATGGCGTAAGTGACTCCGTATCTACCAAGCCGCCAAAATACTGATGACTAATTGCTACAGAAGCCAAGAACTGGGTCGGTTGGAAAAGCTTCCTGCGGAGGTGTTACTGGTGATCCAGCAGTACCTTCCCAATATCGACAGAGCACTCTTTGCGATTCTTAGTCACGAAATCCAGTGGAAAGTTGGTTATCATCCCAACACTCTCAGCCTATCTGAGCGCAACGCTCTCGTGTGCAACCTGGACCAATGGAACATGTATCCCGAGCTCATTCTGTGTCAATACTGCTACAAATTCCACCGGCCAGAGCTATCACTAGCAAACCAAAATGCACCCGCCCGCGAGATGCTCCCTTGTCAATTTGGAAGCGCTTACCACAGGATACGGACGCCCTATTTCGACCAGTATCCGCATAAAAATGTCGTGGCCGGACTTATACGACAGCAGCGTCTGCGCCACTTGCTTCGTTCAGTGCCCACTTCATCGAAGCTGCAATCTATGACCACGATTCACAGACGAACTAACGAAATTCGGATGGACTCTTTGCGTGACTTGAACGTCGTGGGAGGAAGATGTCTGCTGAAGATGCAAGATATCTTCTATTGCGATGACGACCTGACGAAGGCCCGCCTTCGACATGACTCAGTAGTTCATTTTCGTCTAGGTAGGCAGTTGAGTGGGACCTGCCCTCATTTCCCTGCAGAACGGATGATACAGGAGACATTCTTGCCCAGCGGTTGGAACGATCAGCCTCACGTCAGTGTGGACAGAATACTAGATTGTCTTTGGGGCCACGAAAAACCGTGCTAGAAGCACTGTCTGGTCTCAATCAATTGGATCCGCAGCTGCCACACCTGTCCTATGGATTATTCTATCAGTGCTATAGACACTGATGGGTACGCGAGTGGGAAAAGGGCAGTGGTTCTCACAAGCTGGAAGGACCTCGGAGATTGCCGACACAGGTACTTTGGTGTCAATGAGGCTTACTACCAGGAGCAGCTGGAAAAGATTTGCCAGAACGATATGACCAGAAAGTGTGGGAGCATCTTTCAAGCGTATGAGCAGACGAGCCGAATGAGCTTTACGCCTGACTTTCCCAAGGATAGACTCGAAGGGGGTGACGATTCGGTTCTTTTTGCACCAAGCAGAGTTGAACGACGTACAGATTAGCATCACTAGCCAGCAACAGAACATGGAACTTTAGAATGCCATGGAGAAATGACCACTTTTGAATGTGCTAGAGCGATTGCTTTCCCGATGTATTCGCTGTCGTTGTCGTTATCTCCGTCCTCGCTTCCGGGCCGCCGCCCATGATGCGTATGTCGCTGTTACTGCTGTGACTACAATTGCTGTGGTTATCGCTGTCGCTATTTCGAATTGCAGTTGTAGACGTCCTCAATTGAAGTAAAACTTCATTTCTTTGGAGTACATTGAAGGCAGAGATACATACTCGCGTCAACATTGGGAAAGCCAGACCGTGTCTTGTGGAAAGTCATCCTTTTGTGCCACACATCTTCTGTAGGGTATCAACATGTCGCTGGCCATGGGCTTAAGACGGAACTCAGTTCGGCTTTCGTCTCTGCCAAACCAACCGGACCAGGTTTGCATGGTTTAACCAGCGACGCGGTGTCTTTATCCGAACGTCGTCGTTCAAGCCAGGGATTTCCCACCAATAAGCCCAAGCCCACCGCTGCAGTGCAACCTGTCCAAGGATCTCCCCCGCACATCTCCAAGATTACCCCAGCCAACTTCCCCACGCCGATCTCCCACCGGCCTGGAGCGCCAGACCGCTTCGCGGCAAGATGGGAGAGATGAGCTCGTTGGTCGGGGGTCTTTTCCGACCCGCGCGGGGGGTTCAGAGGCTGGGCAAAAGCATATTTTCCGGCTTTAATTGCGATTAAAGTGATCAATCCAGCATGTCTGCACTGCGATGACTCCATTTTAACTTTTCCGTCTGATGAGGAGTTCACCCGAAAAGAAGTGGGAATGCCCTCCTGCTCCACTAAGAATGCGTCCTCCAGGGTTCGGCTGAAGCCTTTAAGATGGGGGCCGAGGACCGTCCTCAGTCGCTCGCTCTTTTTGGGATGTTTCGTTTGACCGGGAAAAACGGATAGTGTCGTTGCATCGCATCCCTGAGGTGCCTCGTAAATCATGCGTCTTTCACGATCATTCGCCCTGCTTGCAGCCGTCACTTGCGTGCTGTCATACGCGGTGGAGCTGCCTGCCGGTGTTCCGAGATCTCTGCAAGAGTTCAGGGACGTCCACCCCTACACGCCCCCTTCGAATGGGTGTGGACGCAAGACTATCGAGATCCGCGCTTCGAGGAACGACACGGATGACGTCTCTGAGGAGTTCCGCAAGGGACTCCAGGACGCTAACAACGGCGGTACACTGTACTTGCCGAAAGGGAAGACTTTTGTCATTGCGAAGGCACTTGACTTAACTTTCCTAAACGACGTGCATGTTCGTCTCGAAGGAGAGATTAAGGTGTGCCACACAAGATCGCCTTCTGTCTAAGCTGCGAGTACTAACACACTTGGTTCAGTTCACCAATGATGTCGCCTACTGGCAAGTACGTGGAAGAGATACCTTGCATTATTCGGCATAGCTTCATGATATTGACAACGAGCCGTAGGAAAATGCCTTCGAGCACCCGTTCCAAGTAAGTTTCTTTCGGCATGACAACTTGACATGATTGAAGCTAACCAACTGGCAGAAATCCATTATGTTCTGTATGCTATATTGCTCAAAACGCTTTGTCGCGTAACTAATTCCTCTTGCAGGGAAGTGGGGTGGAAAGGACATCAAGATCTATGGTGACGGTGTCATCAACGGACAAGGGTTCGCTGAGTATTCCTCCTATCAAAAGCTTCTTAGCTGACACTTTCAATAGCCAACGCTGGTGGAATGAGTTCAACGCCGGTATTGGATCGTAAGTCTCAGTCTACTCTTCAAACATTCTGTAAATACTAACACTACCCTAGTATCTTGGTGAGACGGTCATGTCCTTCTTAGCCCGATCTTCCAACTGACCAAATCCAGAACCCTGACAACAAATACCTTCGACCCATTCTCTTCTACGTGGAGAACACTACGAACCTAGAGGTTGAAGGTATTCACATGAAGGATTCACCTTGCTGGACAAACTTCATCGTTGGATGTAAGCCATCATAAAGCCTTAGCCGCGACTAAGGCCGTGGTACTTCATCAGGCTCCCGGGACTGACTGTATCAATAGCCAGCAATATCCAGTACAAGGACGTCATCGCCACCGCTATCACAAATAATGGCAGCATCATCCCTAAGAACACAGACTTCTTCGACTCCCTCGACGTGCAGGACGTCCGCATTGAGCGTGTCTGGGTCAACATTGACGACGACTGTTTCTCTCCCAAGTCCAATAACACCAACCTCTACGTGAACACGATGTACTGCAATGGTGCGTTTGACTTCTGATGTTCTATCTTGACAGAAGCTGACTTTGCTTTCAGGTACCCACGGTCAAGTAAGGATACGTGATCCCCTAAGACAAAACGACGACTAACCCGTATTCTTAGTCAATCGGATCTCTCGGTCAGTATGCCGGCGAGATGTCATTCGTAAAGGACGTCCACATTGAAAACGTGTGGATGTTGAACGGCGACGTAAGATCTTCTCCAACCCAGTCAATCGCGACACAACTCACACTTTCATAGTACTCGGGAGCTCGTATCAAGACCTGGGCCGGCCCTAACGTCGGCTACGGATACGTCGAGAACATCACATACAAGTGAGACCCCTCCTTTGTCACCTCCACCTCCATGAGGATTGCTAACCCCGTAATAAAGGAACTTCTGGCTTGCAAGAATGGACTACGGAATCATTCTCGACTCGTGCTACTTCAACGTAAGACAATCGTGACTCAGAATTCGTAGCTGCTTGGCAGCAGCAGGCCGCAAACGTCCAAGACCGCTAACATGGGGCCTAGATCAACGAGACCACCTGCGAGCAGTATCCATCCGGCATGAACGTGTCCAACGTCTTGTTCGAGAACTTTACGGGCTACACGAGTGGTATCTACGGCAACGCGGTCGCAAAGCTGACCTGCTCGACGAACCCCGATGCCGTCTGCCACAACATCACGGTGAAGAACTTCAACGTCACGAGCCCCTGCGGCGGTGATCCCGTCATCATCTGCGATGGGATTGATGGTGGCATTGACACGCCGTGCGTCAGCATCGACAGCGAGGAGGCGAAGGCTGCGTTGGCAGCCAAGTGCCAGACGCCGCTTGCCCCCATCAACACTAAGCCGTGGTAGATGACATGTCCATGCACAGCATATCACCGCGTCACCGGTGAAGAGAGGAAGATGGTATGAACGGATATTATTAAGTATAGTATTAGAGTAAATGTAAAGACAATTGCAAGTTATGAAACCAGGACTCCTTCCCAATGCGAGCACATGTACGTTCAGTCTGAGGCGTGAAGGCGACCGTCAGCCGTCGAGTCTAAGCTCCATCGCCTCCCGCAGGGATAGTGCCAGTACCAGGTACGGGGTTCAGGAGAGGCTGGGAAAGAACCACGTCGGACTGCAGAGGTTGAGACAGGACCAAGCCATCGGGCATGTCAGAGGTCACTGTGTTCGAAGGGGCATCGCCAGAAGGAACGGGGTCTTCGGCAGGTGTGGGGTCCTCAGAGGGAGGAGACTCGGGAGTAGACTCTGGAGTAGGATCGGCGGCAGGAGCGGGATCCTCAGCCGGAGTCGAGTCTCCGGTGGGTGTTGATTCATCAGTTGGGGTCGGGTCGGCTGCGGGAGTTGACTCGTCGGTGGGAGTAGGGTCGGCCGCGGGTGTTCCGTCATCAGTAGGTGTAGGGGGGTCAACCGCAGGGGTAAAAGCCTCAGTGGCAGTAGGGTCGGCCGCAGGAGTAGACTCGTCGGTGGGTGTAGGATCGTTGGCAGGGTCCTCAGTCGGATCGGGGGTAGGGATATCCTCTCCGGCAGCAGGGACAGGATCCGGCACGGTGCCATCGGTAGATGTGGCGACCGGGTCTTCAGCATTGACCAGATCAGGAATTCCAGTCTCAGTATCCGCTTGCACGGTCTGCGTCGGCGCGTTTGAGTTCACGACTGGTGGAAGATGGCTCTCTGAAGCTGGGTTGACAGTGGCGATGGAAAACCATTCAGTGCCGCCCTTCTCGGGGAGGAAACCCTCAGATGCGCTCTCAGCGTCGTAGTAGAGACCGTCCTCCTGGCGGTAGTAGATATGCGCAATGTTGATGTACTGCTTGTCGTTGTCGGGGCCGGCCTTCCATACGGCGTAGACCACAGATTCGGGAGCCATGGTGCTGCCGTCGCGGTTCTTGCATGCGATCCAATCTTGCTGGATGTAGATGGGGCTGCAGACGACATCGAAGGCGGGTGCTCCAGACGGGACACCTTCGAAGCCCAAGAGGTTGAATTGAGAGCTGCATCCTCCAGGAGAGCATCCCCACTGGTAGTCGGTGGCCAGCCAGCCGTTATCTTGCTGCTGGCGGCGGTTGATGACAGCGGCGGAAGCACCGACTGCGAAGGCGGAGGCCAAAATGGCAATGCGGCTGCTGGCAACCATCTTGATGGATTGGATTACTAGTTTGAAGTGGTTGTATTGGCTGTTTGAAGGCTGAATCGCTTGAGATCGATCACTTTCTCGGGGGCCCAAGGTGCTTTTATTGCGTGGGGCTTCGGTCAGTTTCTCGGGTGAGACAACGACGTTTGCGTTTGCGGTGAGACAGAAGTAGCGATTGTTCGCAAAGAAATCGCCTGTTGGAACGGTTTCTGTGTGATGATGAAAAGAATGAGACCCGGATAAATGCGGTTCTTCTTTCAATATATATAAAAAAAAATACCATCCCTGCGAAAGCTGAAGCATCATACACATTGTGATAGTGCGCCACGACAGGTAGGAGATCGCCAGCTCGCCATGCAGATCTCCAGGGCAAGCAAGCCAGAGAATGTCCGTACCCACACTAGACCCAATAATATCACCGGCTAGTGATGTTAACGTTGTTCCTCTCTCGGATCCGTCTGACAAGCAACAGCTTTCCGGACTCGGTCACGAAATGCTGCCGCGTTTGGAAGGGTTGGCTGGGGATAGTCTCACTCCTCAAAGACCCCGCCAACGCCAGGGCACGAGACCGGGGAGAGCCAATGCGGCAACGTCACAGCCAAATTCTTGGAAAGGACCGATCCAGAGCCAATCATGGCTGGGAAGTGGTGGACTAAAAGGCTTAATTCAGGTAGCACCACGGCTTGTCCGCCCTACCGGGGTCGAGCCGGGTGCCCAATCTGTAAGACATTGAATCGAAGCAGGCATCCGGAGGGCTATTTTGGATGCCACGGGCCGTAAGTAAGCTCAGCCCGTGGCTTGTCGGTTCACTCCGACTGGTCAGTTTTCCTTCGGCCGCATCTCCTCTGGGCTTTCCGCCTCGGTGGGAGCTTCAAAGCAGCCAGCCGCTGCCACTCCTGCATGCAGACTTCCATGGTTTCCATGGGCGAATCCAGACGTTTGGCTTCCAGCGGTCTAGACCCAAGGGCCCAAATGGAAAGCCTCTTTCCACTTGGACGCGCGAAGGCTGGCATGGTCGCGCATGGCCGCGGTTTTCGCGATCACTCTTCGAGAGATGGCTTCCATGAGATGGAGAACATGAACGACTTGGCGTTGACCGCAAGCAGCATGTTCACATACGACCCCTGATCATTCCCTTGTCAACCAAGCTGAGGTCGTATCCGACTGTCTGGTTATACAGATGTCTTGGTCTCACTGAGACTCGGCAATTCCAGCGATTATTCTTCTACCACTCAAGTAAGAGATAGTAGCGGTACCCATTGTACTGAGTTTTCTCGATGTCGGCCTCTACCAACGCCCCTTCTGCCATCTTCTCGCTTACCTATCTCAGCACTTCAGCCACACGCCAACCTATGGAGGTTTAGTCTAGAATACGGTTTTCCTATTTGGGAATATCAGAGCAAATGCCGTGAATGGTCGAGGCCAGTAGACGGCTCGTTCGCGCGTAGAATTTTAAGTTACCCGGCGTCTCGCCGGTGCTATCGGTGGGCCGGTCAAGTCCGAGAAGTTGATTAGGTGAGGCTTCATCGACTGCACTTGGATCAGCGAGGCCAGCGATCATCTTCTTAATGGTGATCTTCATTTGCGTATGCTCTCTGATTCCTAATGCGGATCATCGCTGTAATCTGAGTATTACAGAGTTTGGTTTCTATTCTATGTCCTACACCTGTTGACAAAGCTTTTCAACGCATCTACCGCTTCCTCCCTGCTCTTTTTGCTTACAAGACTGCTGGTGATGTTGTCTTGCTCCGACTCTGGGGCCATACCCTCGTTTCTTGGCGGGTTATTATCAAGATTTGTTGGGAAAGGATATCCGTTGCCGACGGCGGCTATGAAGGACTTGACCTCCTCGCTCATCCCCTGCTCGTTGTACAACTTCACCAAGTGATCCCAACTCTTCTCCACCAACGGAACCGCATCGACAAACTCCATGGGCTTGCCAAAAGCACTGCTGATCTGCAGCAAATTCGCCATCCGGTAAACATCGGCCGACTGGTTCTCCCCCGCCGCATGGAAAAGCGCAGGGTTGAAGAACAGCCCGTCGCCCACCTCCAACGGCAACGCCACATAGTTCTTCAAGAAGAACTCGTTGAACTCGGGCCGCCGGTACGCCACATACCCAGGCTCGAACGTCTGACTGAAGGGCAGCAGCCTCGTCGGCCCGCTCTCGATGGGGACCTCGGAGTGGGCCACGGCGCCCTGCAGCGTCAAGAGCTGGCTGGCAACCTGCATCGCGCGGGGGAACTGCGCCGACGCCGCGGCGGTCTGGAAGCCGACGTGGTAGTCGCGGTGGCAGACCTGCGGCGCGGCGCCGGGCTTCGTGTTGTTAACCTGCGCGGTGATCCGGTACCCCGGCCCCAGCCACGCACTGCAGATGAGGCCGAGGTAGGGGTTTGAGTAGTACTTCACGAAGGACGCCGGGTCTGCGAGGCCGTGCTTGCTGAACGAGTTCCAGATGCGGTCGTTCTTGCCGGCGCTGGCGAAGTGGTCGCCCTTTGCGACGCCTGATTTCTTCTCCGCCTCGATTATGGACGCGAAGGCGGCGTTGGCCGCTTCGATTAGGGACCTGTCGCGGTAGAGGCCTTTGGTGACGAAGACGCCGGGGCCGGAGATGAGGACGCGGTACCACTCGTCCTGGAGGGCCGCGCGCTGGTCTTGGTCGAGGCTGGCGTACGGCGGGAGGTCGTAGATGGGGATGTTCTTCTCGATCGATGCGGCTAAGGGGTAGTCTTCCGGTGTTGCTGACTGGGAGCAGAGGGATGCGAACGAATCTATTGCGGAGGCTTCAGAAGTCGAGAAGAGACGTGTGGATGACGTGCTGGAGGCTCGAGCCCCGTTCGTCTGGCCGTTACGGATGGTCATGTTTTCTTTCGTGTGAGATGTCGTGACAACGAAAGTGGTGTGCAGAGTATTCAGTTGATGCTTTGAAGAAGTCAATTGTCGTAGACGTGGAGGGGAAGCGCGGGGTATTTAAGACGGTAACCTGGTGGGTTTTCTCTCCACAGCGTTTTGTCTTGGTTCGTTCAAAGATGTTTGGGCTGTACGTCATGCGCCGTTTACTGGTGTATCACACGTTCCTTTCTCTAAGAAGTTCTGGAAAGGGAATTATTCAACGATTCTGGGGAAATGCCCGGCTGCTTCTCCATCGGCCAGAATTGCCCTTTCCAGCTCCGGATGGGGCCGGTTCTCGGCGGGCCCACCCCCGGATCGCTCCGCGAGTGTACTCTGCCAGCCCCGGCGTCTGAGCCGAAGAAGCCACCTTAATCTATACGTTTAAACGCGGCGATTCTTGTAGCTTTTGGTCCAGAGTGTTTGGAAATATCTTCATGCGTAGTTGAATCCCCAGGTCTCGTGAGGTGGAGATCTCGGGATATGGTTTCCGATCGTCCTATGAGATCTCACCGTGACCTCAGATCTGACATTTTTCGGACCGTAGTTCCGGGAGGCTCATCGGGAGGCCCCATATGCTAGACTCATTGGTTATTGACGGCGTAGGCGTGGAGAACTGGCCGATGCCATCCGATTACGGGGCGTACCAAGGGATGATGGTCTGGCGTCATTCAAGATCATTTCCCTGAGAAGGAGGAAGTCTGTTCGTCTACTCCTCAAACAACAAGGCTTGGAATATTATCTTCCTGTTCAGTGCGCAGCTTGCGAAGCGCACTGATGATGTTCGGAACTGGCCGAGCGGCCAAGGGTTAACCTTGCCAAGTCTAGGTTGATTCTCTAGCAAAAGCATAAAGCTTACATCGAGGGGACCTACTGAACAGGTCATGACCTATGTATTGCAATACCAGCTCTTCTAGTAGCCCATAAAACTGAGCTTGTTACATGCCTTGCAAGCAGTCAAGGTTATGATGCATCCAGACTCGGTGTTGGCGGCGAATAGTCTTCGAATGGTTACGAGCCATGGTCGGGGTTCGGCGCCTACGAGCTCCGCGAAACACGCCAGATTGGCTGCAAGCTGCTAAATTGCTATGATCTGTAATGATTCATGTTCTGTCATCATTAACATTGGCCGCTACAAGGCATTACAGCGGCAACTCGCTGCCTTTTATTACCGTATTTGTCTCGAAAAGCTAGGTCGTCAACGTAGGACTCAATCGCAATTCGGACTCTGCAACGTGATTCGGACTCTTTACGAGTGCGGGGAGGCTTCCCGCTGTAGAAGTGTCTCTACTTTACGACTCAGCAAATAAGGCGGGTTTTACGCTTTACGTTTTGTAAACTCTGAACCTTTAGAGAGTTCAGCACGGCCTGATGTCTTTCGACCATCGGTACTGTTTGGCCGACTCGCGATGCCTCGGTATGACTACAAGTTCGTACAGATAAGCTTATTTTGGTTATGCGGGGGGTTCCACGACAAATATTGAGTGAATAAATACAACACCTTGATATCATCCATCTCTTTACGTTAGGGTGAACCAAACTTGTATTCTGTGATCCGAGGTGTGAGTTTCCGAGACCGGCATAACCAAGGCCTTCTTGGCGGTCCATTTCTAGGGTCCCACCACTAATACCAGCAGGAAAAAGCGAAACCAAGTCGAAGTTCGAGTCAAATCCCACTTGCTATGCACCATTTGGTCGGATGAACCAAGATACCGACTCAGCGACCGGCCTGGTGGTTTTGGGGAGCACGACTATGGCTGGCCTTTGACCATTAGAAACCTCTAACAAAGACTTGCACCCTATCATAGCGGTGTAGTTTGCCGTAGCGCCCAGCAAATTCCCTGCACACAGCAGGCCCGGCGTCCACGCGCCCCGCGATTCAAGGCTTAATTCCACCTAAGCCACCCCCGACATAGGGTACCCTCCGGAGTACTTAGATACACGTTGCGTTCACGTTGCGAGGTGAATGGGTGGGGCCTCCGGACCGGCCAAGAACCTGCCACCGACCCGCACCACATCGTGCGCACGCATGAGACCCTGCCTGCCTTGACTAGCCAAATTCAACCTCCACTCCTTCAACCACGACCAAGGCTGATCCGGGGCCAACGGGGCAG